ATTTTTTTTAATATTTATTTTTTAGTTCTCGGCGGACACAAAATCTTTGTTGGTATGTGGTGCTGAGGATTGAACCTGGGCCGCACGCATGTCAGGCGAGCACGCTACCGCTTGAGCCACATCCCCAGCCCAATTTTTTGTATTTTATTTAGAGACACGGTCTCACTGAGTTCCTTAGCACCTTGCTTTTGCTGAGGCTGGCTTTGAACTCTCTATCCTCCTGTCACAGCCTCTCCAGCTGCTGGGATTATATGCATGTGTCATACTGCTCGGCCTTTTCTGAAACTTTAAAAAAACTATTATACCAGTTTTGTTTTAAACTTGGAAGTTCTCAAATACCACATGGGCAATGTCTTAAAGTATAAGATGGAGGAAAGAAGTTTTGCTTAAGTCTTCTCAGTTGTAAGATTAATGTGCTTATAGCCAAGTTTGAACAAGTTCTTAAAAATTGTAATGCAATATAAAAAAATAATCTTTTAAAAATTTCAGTGAATCAGTAATTGTGCCAAGGTGTAATACCATCATACTCCAGAAAAAGCCAATATCTCTGGCTCTCACCTGGAATAGTAGGAGACTGTACTAACTTAGGAACTGGTTGTATTCTTAAGTTATTTTATAAGCCTGTTCAGAATTGGGAACCTCAGAAATGAATCTTTCTTTTTTTTTCCATACTGGGGATTGAACCCAGGCACTCAACTACTGAGCCACATCCCCTGCCCTATTTTGTATTTCATTAAAGATAGGGTCTCACTGAGTTGTTAAGTGCCTTTACATTGCTGAGGCTGGCTTTGACTTCGTGATCCTCCTGTCTCAGCCTCCCAAGCCTCTGGGATTAAAGGCGTGCGGCACTGTCCCAGCCTCAGAATGAATCTTAACCTTTTATGATGTTTCCATTCACTTAGTATAAATGGTAATATTAAGGTAGGAAGTACATTTTGTTGGTGCTTGTTTTTTTTTTTCTCCAATCTTCATAATACTATGAGTTATAAGTGCTCAGAGCATGACTGATAACATGCTTGGGATTATCATGGCTATTAGCTTTCTAGAGCTTTTGTTTTCCTTTAAGTTTGGAAAGAGATGAATTATTGAAATGTGTTGGATCCCTAAACCTACCCACAAGACCTCATTTGGCTAAGATTCCAATCCTGACTATTTAGTCCTAGAATGCCAAACTTCATGGTTGTAGTTTCGTTTTCCTAGGGCAGATCTGGTCATCTGGTTTGTTTTCAGAGTCCTTGCTGCCTTTCCTGTTTTTTGAGGTTGTTATAGGCCTATAAATGTTCTATATTCCTAGTTTATGTGTTTCTCATTTTTACCTCTATAATCAAAAACTTAAAAAATTTATTATTATTATTTTTGTGATACTGGGGATTGACTCCAGAGATGCTTTACCACAGAGTTTCATCCCCAGGCTACCCTTTTTTTCTTTTTAAATTTTGAGACAGGGTCTGGGTAAATTGCTGAGGCTGGCCTTTAACTTGTTATCCTCTTGCCTCAGCCTGCTGAGTACTTGGGATTACAGGTGTGTACTACTACTATTTTTTTTTTCTCTTGGCATTCAGTGGCAGTTAAATATTAAAAGGAAAGGATCTGGGTGTGGTGGCGCATGCATGTAATCCTAGTGGCTCAGAAGGCTGAGGCAGGAGGATTTCAAGTTCCAAGCCAGCCTCAGCAAAAGCAAGGCTCTAAGCAACTCAGTGAGACCTGGTCTCTAAATAAAATACAAAATATTGCTGGTGATTTGGTTCAGTGGTAGACAGCCCCTGAGTTCAATCCCTCCTGATACCACTGCTGCCAAAACAAACAAACAAACAAAATCACCAAAAAACATGATCCACTTAAACTAGATTTCATTATTTTGTAACTAATTGGTATGTGAATTAATCAGGTCTTTTGATTTTTATATTGCTTACATTTTGGTACCAGGGATTAAACCCAGGGGTCTCAATCACTCAGCCACATCCCTGTCCTTTTTTAGATTTTATTTAGAGATAAGGTCTCACTTAGTTGCTTAGGGCCTGGCTAATTTGCTGAGACTGGCTTTGAAGTCTGGATCCTCCTGCCTCAGGTTCCTAAGCTTCTAGGATTATAGATGTGTGCCACTATGCCTAGCTGATTGACTTTCATATTGCTTATTAGTAGTTTCTCAGAAAAATGGGGCATAAAGAGAAAGGAAAGTATTTCTTCTTCTTTTACTGTTTTTGAAAAAACACTTATTTTTTAGTTATAGGTGGACACAATATTTTTTTTAAAGATAGAGAAGAGAGAGAATTTTTTTAATATTTATTTTTCAATTTTCAGAGGACACAACATCTTTATTTTATTTTTATGTGGTGCTGAGGATCGAACCCAGGGCCTCACACATGCTAGGCGAGCACTGTATCTCTGAGCCACAACCCCAGCCCTTCTTTTACTATTATTGATTAACTTCAAGAAACTTAAAGCCAATTACAAAAGCCAATTTTGGCACTTTATTGTAGAATTGAGTAGTAATTGTATTTTGTATTCTCTTTCTCTTCCCTGAATTCTTGTAGGGAAAAAAATTTTGATGAATTTTCTAAGCATCTTAAGGGCCTTGTTAATTTGTATAACCTTCCAGGAGACAAGTAAGTATATTTATTTATTTATTTTCTTTTTATGTTTTAGAAGAAACAGTATAAGTCTGCAAGTCATGTATGCTTAGAAATTGCTAACTCTCCTGTCATAATGTCATTACTGATTTCTACTCAGTGTAACTCAGTTTTTAACTTTTATGTCTTTTAAAGATCTTTTAATATCTGCATTAGTAGGTTATAAAGCCAGAATATAGAACATTCTTTTTTTTTTTTTTTTTTTTGTGGTGCTGGGGATTAGAACCCAGGCCTTGTACATAAGAAGCAAGCACTCCACCAACTGAGCTATATCTCTATCTCCCAGAGTATTCTTAACATGCATTTAACATTGATTTCTAGGATGAAAGGAATTATTGTGGAACCAATAACTTGTTATTTTTAATTTTTTTACTCTTATTTTTACTTTTTTGGTACTAAGGTTTGAACCCAGGGGTATTAACCACTGAGCGTAAATCCTCAGCCCTATTTATTTATTTATTTATTTATTTATTTATTTATTTCGAGCCAGGGTTTTGCTAGGTTGCTTAAGGCCTAACTAAATTTCTGAGGTTGGCTTTCAATTTGTGATCCTCTTGCCTCGACTTCCTGAGAGTTGGTGGGATTACAGGTATGTGCCACCTCACCCTGTGTGCCCAGCCCCTTTTATTTATTTATTTTTAAATTTTGAAATAGAGTCTTACCAAGTTATTGAGGCTTGCTTCAAACTTGGGATCCTTCTGCCTCAGCCTCCCAAGTATCTGGGATTACAGGTGTATACCACCAATCCATACTTAGGTCTTTTTTTTAATAAATATTTTAGAGCTGGGAATATGACTCAGTGGTAGTGTGTTTGCCTAACATGCAGAAGACCCTGGATTTAGTCTCCAGCCCCACAGAAATAAAAAACAAAATATTTTAGTTGTTTCTAATGTGCTCTTTTTTCTTTTCTTCTTTAGTTGTTTCTAATATGCTCTTAACCCTTAGGCTTTCTTTCTTTTCTTTTGGTACTGGGGTTGAACCCAGAAGCACTTACTACTGTCCAGCCCTTTTTATTTTTTTATTGTTAGACAGGATTTTGCTAAGTTGCTAAAGGTGGTCTAGAATTTGGGATCCTCCTTCCTTAGTCTCCTGAGTTGTTTGGATTACAGCCGTGTGCTATCATGCAGGGCTGTGCTTTCTGTATCAGTATGTGTTTGTGTCTGTGTATACCCACACATATACTAACATGTACATTCAATGACTTAACTCATATTTTATCCTCATCCGCTCTCCAGCAAATTGAAGACTAAAATGTACTTGGCTCTCCAATCCTTAGAACAAGATCTATCTAAAATGGCAATTATGTACTGGTAAGACTGTCTAAAGAATCAATTCTATGTGACTTTTGGTTTTTCACCCACGGTATTAGCCTATTATTTATACATCTCTATTATGGATATGTATTATTACAGTATACGTCTATATTATACATAATAAAATACTGTCCATCTTGATTATCTCTTTTCCCTTTCCAAATAATATTTGTGTTCCATTTATGAGATTCAGTATCACTAAGTTGTTTGGTATTTCATACATTTTAACTGATAATTCATCAAACTTGGACTCCCATCTGATAAATAGTAGTGAAGTTGTAATTTATGTTTACCATATTATATAATGGTGTGTCCTTAGAAATAACCCATTTATTTTGAAGGGGAAGTATATTTGTTATATCCCCCAATTACAGAACAGAGTTGTTATGGTATTATTATAAGATTTATTTTTATTTCTTTTTGTGGTGCTGGGGATCAAACCCAGTGCATCTTTCATTATAAGGCCTTTTTTTTTTTTTTTTTTTTGATAATACTGTGGATTGAACCCAGAGCACTCTACCTCTGAGCTACATTATAGCCCTTTTCATTTCATTTTGAGAAATGGTCTTGCTGAATTGCCCAGAGTGACCTTGAATTTCAGAATCTCCTGATTTAGCTTCTGAATAGTTGGGATTATAGACATGTACCACTGTGCCTACTTATATTTTAAGACTTTTTTTGACTGTGCCTAGTTACATTGACTACTTCTTGGGGGTAGGGCTACCAGGGATCAAACTCAGGGCCTAAGCGTATCTCCAGCTCTTTTTTTGTATTTTATAGAGACAGGGTCTCACTGTGGCTTAGCACCTCACTGTTGCGAGGCTGGCTTTAAACATGCCATCCTCTTGCCTCAGCCCCTCAACCTCTCCAGCCACTGGAATTACAGATGTGTCCACCAGAGCTGGCATACTGTAAGACTTTTTAAAAAAAATACCTTTATTTTTATGTGGTGCTGAGAATTGAACCAGTGCCTCACACATGCGAGGCAAGTGCTCTACCACTGAGCTACAACCCCAGACCACATTTAAGACAAAAGGGCTGCTAAGACCTTCTGTGTCTAAATAGATAATTTGTTTTGCAGGAAAGCAACTAATGCTGGTCCCTTGGATAAGATTCTTCATGGAAGTGTTGGCTATCTCACTCCTAGGAGTGGGGGTAGGTTATTTTAATTATTTAGAAAAATGTCTAATTTTAGTTTCAGAGTCATTATTTTATTATTTATTTTTTATTTTTTAAAATAGTTATTGTATTTTTAGGTGTGGATGGACACAACACAATGCCTTTATTTTTATATGGTGCTGAGGATCGGACCCAGGTCCCGTCTGTGCTAGGCGAGCGCTCTACCCCTGAGCCACAATTCCAGCCCAGAGTCATTACTTTTAATTTCACCTTGAGCTCATAAAGTCATAAGCAGAGGGAGAAAAGTATTAGTCGTTTCTATATTTTATAAGGAGTTCTAAGGCGTCAATACCTGCACTACCCTCCTCTCTTTGTTTTCCAATTGTGTGAAGTAAATTATTGCTTTCAGAATCAATACTTTTTTAAAAATATTTTCATTTTTAGTTGTAGTTGGGTGTAATACCTTTATTTTATTTTTATGTGGTGATGAGGATTGAACCCAGCTAGGCGACTGCTCTACCACTGAGCCACAACCCCAGCCCCAGTACTTAAACTGTTATCATGTTTTGCTAGCTGCTTTAGAGCATGGCTTCTCATAACTATGAAACTATTTTCTTGGGCTGGGGATGTGGCTCAAGTGGTAGCGTGCTCGCCTGGCATGTGTGCGGCCCGGGTTCGATCCTCAGCACCACATACAAAGAAAGATGTTGTGTCTGCCAAAAATAAAAAATAAATATTAAGAAAAAAATTCTCTCTCTCTCTCTCTCTCAAAAAAAAAAAAAAAAGAAACTATTTTCTTGTATATAGGTTTATAGAAGTATAAAATCTGTTCTTTATTTGTAATATATTAATAAAGATGCAGTAAAAAGTTTAATTTTTCATAGGTCATTTAATGAACATGAAGTATTATGCCTCTCCCTCTGACCTGTTGGATGATAAGACTGCATCTCCTATCATTTTGCATGAGAATAATGGTAAGTCTTTAGCTGCAAAACAACTGAAGATTTTGTCCAATGTTTTTAAAATATTTGTAAACTTTGATTGTCTAGCCTGCCTCTAAGTTTGGTTTGATATTTAATTTGTTTTCTGTCCTTACCACATGTACCTGATACAAAACACACAATCTCTATACATGTGCATATGTAAATATGTACACACTCACACACACGCACACACACATATATATATATTTTTTTTTTTTTTTCTACACATATAGAAAGTGCTTTATTTATTTTTTGTCATGTGGATTGAACTCAGGGGTATATTAACATTGAGGTATATCTCCAGTCCTTTTAATTTTTATTTATTTATTTAAAATACACAATTTATTTATTTTTTTAATTTATTTTTTATTATTTTTTGGTGGTGCTGGGGATTGAACCCAGGCCTTGTGTATGTGAGGCAAACACTCTACCAACTGAGCTTTCTCTCTAGCTGTTAATTTTTATTTTTGAGATGGGGTCTTACTAAGTTGCTGAGCGTCTAAGTTATTGAGGCTGGCTTCACTTTTAGAATCCTCCTGTCTTAATCTTCCAGGTTGCTGGTACTTCTCCTAGCCTTTTCTCATTTCTTTATAGGGGAACAGGATAGTCAATTTACTAAAGGAACTACAGCAATGGATGTTATTTTCTACTTGAACTTTATAACAAAAGATAGTGAGAAATGGCCTAATAAGTCATTTGGTCCTCTCATAACTTCTATCCTTGGCTCTATTGCATAATTATAATCATTTTAAAATGTATTTTGAAAAAAAATGTATTTTGAATTTGGATAAAATACGTGTCGTTAATGAGCCCTTTTAAAAAATTTCTTTCTGAAGCCAGGCTTGGTGGTAACTGTTGTAATTCCAGTGAGTCAGAATTATTGTTGCTGGGATTATAGGTGTTTGCCACTGTGCCTGCTTCTTGTATTTTATTTACTGGCAGAAATAAGTAGTGGTTGGCTAAAAAGATACCTTCTATCCCATGAAATTATATAGGGATTAAGTATCTGATATATATGGCTGATATATAATGAGATTGTTGTTTTTTAATGTGATCCACTTAATTTTTTTTTTTTTTTTGGTCCGAGAATTGAACTCAAGGGCACTCAACCACTGACCCACATCCCCTGCCATATTTTGTATTTTATTTAGAGACAGGGTCTCACTGAGTTGCTTAGCATCTCATCATTGCTGAGGCTGGCTTTGAACTCAGGATCCTCTTGTCTCAGCCTCCCCAGCTGCTGGGATTTTAGGTGTATGCCACTGTGCCGCTAATTATGGGGTCACACCAAGTTGGCTAATTTGTGTTATTTTGAAGAATATCTTTTTTCTTTCCTATTCCTAGTTCCTCGATCTTTGGGCATGAATGCATCAGTGACAATTGAAGGAACATCTACTATGTATAAACTTCCAATTGCACCACTAATTATGGGGTCACATCCAGTTGACAACAAATGGTAAGTTAAACATAATTTTAGAGAAGCAAAGTCCATATTTTGAACTTAAATACCAATGTGAATAATATTTCATTTGGCTTACCACTTGAATTTTTGGAACTTGACTACTTTTTTTTTTTTTTCCATTAATTTCCCTTATGTACAGTATTTATTTGAATGTTTCTCTTCTAAGGTCTGCTCATAGCAAACATTCTCTACCTTGAATAAATGTGTTGTTTTAGGTTTGAGTTTTGATGTTGTGTGTTGAACTCAGCTCCTTGCCTGTGTTGAATACATGCTTTATCTTTAAGTCTAGTCCCAGATAAATGTTTGAATAAATAATTCAGCATTAACAGATTATGTTTAGGAATTGTTAGAAGGAAATTCAAAGAATGACCTTTGAAAGACCCTGTAAATACTTGTCTGTGATACATGTCTAACAATAGGTGTTTGGCGTTTTCATTTTCATACCAAATCAAAATCCAACTCTTCCTCCTACCCTTTTTTTTGAAGGACCCCTTCCTTCTCCTCCATCACCAGTGCCAACAGTGTTGATCTTCCTGCTTGTTTCTTCTTGAAATTTCCCCAACCAATCCCAGTATCTAGAACATTTGTTCAGAAACTGCAAAACTGCACAGGTGAGTTTTTTTTTTTTTTTTCTTTTTAAAGTCTTTACCAAACTGCTGGTATATTTTGAGCAACAATAGATGTGAGCATGAAAATTCAAATTCAGATTACCCTGGATTGCTTATAGTCTTATAGACCTGAAAGAAGTAACCAGGGGTATATATATTAATGGTGTTTTATAAATGCTTAGTAAGTATTTTTTAAATAAAGGGGTGAATGTAAAAATCATGAAGGGAGCTGGGTGTGGTGGTACATGCCTGTAATCTCAGTGGCTCTGGAGGCTGAGGCAGGATCATTGAGAGTTCAAAGTATCATCGGCAAAAGTGAGGTGTTAAGTAACTTAGTGAGACCCTGTCTCTAAATAAAATACAAAATAATGCTGGGGATGTGGCTTAGTGATCAAGTTCCCCTGAGTTCAATCCCTGGTACCAAAAAAAAAATCATGAAGTGAAAATTGAGCTCTGAACATTTTGATCTTAATGTGATCATTATATTAATCTTTTTTTTTCCCCCCAGGAATTCCATTATTTGAGACTCAGCCAACTTACGTACCCCTCTATGAACTGATCACTCAATTTGAGCTGTCAAAGGATCCTGACCCCATTCCTTTAAATCACAACATGCGATTTTATGCTGTAAGTAAGGCCCTGTGGAGCTGGAATGTTGTAACTTATGTTTAGACCCAAGATCAGAATCTTCTTTATAGCACTGTGGGGTCTGACACCTTCATTTAGATGGCTTGGTCATGACCTGTTTCCTCACTCACACAAGAAATTATAAAAATCTCTGATACATACTAAAGAAAAAGGCCATGAGCCTCCAAGTTGGGAAACAGCAGTGAATATTTCTTTATTGACATTCTTCAAAGAGATGAAAATCTTTTAATGGTATCCTGCCTTTTACAAGCTTACAGCTAGTTGTTAAAAATTCTTATTGTTTCATGCACCATAAGTTTATAATTGGAAAAGTCCTTTAAGTACATAAAAGAACAAAGTTTTGGGATGAATCAATTATGAAATGTTGCAAAACCTCATCTGGGCTTAAATTTTTTTGAATGTTTGACAGTCTAGACTATCAGTAGTTCACAAATTCTGGGTACATTGTAATTATAAAGAACGTTTTATTAAAAATACAGATTTTGAGCTGGGTACAGTGGTGCACTCCTATAATTCAACTACTTGGGAGGCTGATACAGGAGGATCACAAGTTTGAGGCTAGCTTGGGCAATTTAGGAGCACTGTCTCAAAATGAAATTTTTGGGTAAAGGCCTGGGGATATGTCCGAGTGGTAGAGTACTTGCCTAGTGGGCACTAGGCCCTGTGTTCAATCCCACCACCCCTAACCAAAGGAAAAAAAAACAGAAAAGAAAGAAAAAGCCACAACAGATATTGTACTTATGGTTTAGAAATCTCTTTAGTACAGGGCTGGGGATGTGGCTCAAGAGGTAGCGCACTCGCCTGGCAGGCGTGCAGCCTGGTTCGATCCTCAGCACCACATACCAAGATGTTGTGTCTGCTAATAACTAAAAATAAAATTTAAAAATTCTCTCTCTCTCAAAAAAAAAAAAAAAAAAAAGAAACCTCTTTAGTACAAATTTCTGAGGAATTTTTATATTATGCACCAGGACAGAGTTTTCTTAAGAAGGAATCCTTTCAGCCAGATGAGCAACTGATTAACATTTATCATATCTGCTAGTCAGAGAATATACTGTGGAGTTCTATTACTTTCTAAGACTTTGCTGTGCTTTTTGAACCATAGACTTTTTTTAGGGTAGTTTGTGTCAGAATACAATGGATTAGTAAACAGTATTCATTTACTTTGTTCTTTTTGCCCAGGCTCTTCCAGGTCAGCAACACTGTTATTTCCTCAACAAGGATGCTCCTCTTCCCGATGGCAGAAGTCTACAGGGAACACTTGTTAACAAAATCACCTTTCAGCACCCTGGTCGAGTTCCTCTTATCCTGAATATAATCAGACACCAGGTGGCCTATAACACTCTAATTGGAAGCTGTGTCAAAAGAACTATTTTGAAAGAAGGTACTGCCTTTCCTTTTGATATACTTACTGGAAGATGGGAACTAACTATTCCCATAGTTCTTGAATTTGGTGGCTGATCAAAACACTGTGGAGCTTTTAAAGCTAACATAAAAATTCCTTTGTTTGGTTTTCACACCCAGATGAATTGAATTAAACCTCAATGGGAAGAATTGGGAATCTGCTTTAATTACTACAAATAATTTTGATGGGACTAATCTGTTCAAATTGGTATTTCAAACCACTGTTTTTTTGTTTTGTTTTTTTTCCATGAACTTTTTCTAAACCTAGTAATGAATTGGGTATTTTAAAGCCTATGCTTGTGGCAGGTACCCAATTTATTGATATCTAAATTTTAGGTTGTTAGGACAGTGCTTTCCTGGTATAATCTCCCCATTCTTTGGAGAACTGCAAATTATAATATCATATTTTATTTTATTTTTTGATATTGGGGAGTGAACCTAGAAGCAATTAACCACTGAGCCACACCCCCAGCCATTTTTAGTGTTTGAGAGATCTCGCTAAGTTGCTTAAGGCCTTGCTAAAATGATGAGACTGGCTTTGAACTTGAGATCCTCCTGCCTCAGCCTTCTGGGTTGCTGAGATTATAGGCATGTGCTACCATGCTCAGCTATCATATAGCTTGAAAATGGAGATCTGTGCCCCTTTTTTCAGGATTCTAGATTTCTGTTGGTTTTCAAACAGTTAGTTATTAAATATTTTGATATAAATTTTGATTTCTCTAGCTGATTATTTTTTACCTTGGGCATAAAGCATTTCTGTATCAGTGTACATGGTAGGCAAGAAGAAACAGGGAGGGTAAACAGAAGATATCATTAATGAAAATTAATAATTGCTTTAGAAATCAGTAAATTGCTGGGTGTGGTGGCACACACCTGTAATCCCAGTGACTCAAGAGACTGAGACAAGAGAATCACAAATTCAAGTCCAGCTTCCACAACTAACTTAGGCCCCTAAGCAACTTAATGAGACTGTGTTTTCTTTTAAGAGAGACAGAATTTTTTAATATTTATTTTTTAGTTTTCGGTGTACACAATGCCTTTATTATTCATTTCCCAGGGGAGTGCTCTACTACTGAGCCATAACCCCAGCCTGAGACTGTTTTAAAATAAAAAAAGGGCGTGGGCTGTAGCTCAGTGGTAAAGTGCCCTGGGTTAAATCCCCAGTACCAAAAAAAAAAAAAAAAAAGAATTTCAAGAGTTGGGAGTAATGTCACAGAACATTTCATGTGTTTGACTCTTAGGAGAATTCTCCAAATAGGTTCAGGGTACTAAAAATGAGTTTACACTGGGGAGTAATGGAGCAAGTATGTGATCTTTGTGCCTGTGTTGCCAGAATGTTTTGTTTAGGAAGTACAACTTAAGAGATGTAGCTCAGGGGCTGGGATTGTGGCTTAGCGGTAGAGTGCTTGCCTAGCACTGGCAGGATCCGGGTTCGATCCTCAGCACCACATAAAAATAAAGGCATTGTGTTGAGTCCATCTACACCTAAGAAATAAATATTAAAAAAAAAAAAAGAGAGAAGTAGCTCACTGGTACAATCTAGCAATCACTAGTGCTTAAAAAAAATTAGGTATCATATCTTCATATTAGAAATTTGAAAGTTTAGTTACTTTTTTGTTTTCGAAAGATTCAACAATAAACTGGAATTCATTGGAATCTGATTCCTTCTGTGTGTGTGTAAGAGAGAAAGAGAAATTTAGTTTCCAAAAAGGGAAAAAGGAATTTTACTCTGTATATTTAAGGATTGTTGTTGGTTTTATGTCTTATGTTTGGTTGTTTTATGAACTTTTTCTTTGATTTTTAGATTCTCCCGGGCTACTCCAGTTTGAAGTGTGTCCCCTCTCAGAGTCCCGTTTCAGTGTATCTTTCCAGCACCCTGTGAATGACTCCCTGGTGTGTGGTGAGTTGTGTGGGTGGCTAACACCTCTCTCAGGGGAGCTACTTTGGTCCTTATATCTTTTGGAAGGTCAGAAACAATCTATCACAAAAAACTCCCATATTTTGTCTTTCAGTGGTAATGGATGTGCAGGACTCAACACATGTGAGCTGTAAACTCTACAAGGGGCTCTCAGATGCACTAATCTGCACAGATGACTTCATTGCCAAAGTTGTTCAAAGGTAGCACTGACCCTTTTCCATCAGAGTCCACTAAGAGTATGTTTTCAGTATTAGAGTGAATTGGAAATAAAGGAGAAAGTCACAGTCATTCCTTTGAATTCACTCTTATCTGTTTTTTGGGATTTAAAAGTGATCTGAATTCTTTATTTTAATTTGATATCACAATGGAGTAATAGGAGATAAGGTAGGTAACTTTAGGTCAGGCATTAGTGTACTTAAAAGTGGGAGACAGCTGAAGTAAGATGCACTTTTCTTTTCACCTATACTGTTTTGCCACTTTTTAAAAGATAAACCATGAAATGTGAATATGTGAGAATATACTTAAGTCATCATCTTCCCAGAAACATTAATATGTAACTTTTAAGCAGAAACTAGCAGCCCATTTTTTAAAAAATAGTTTTTAGTTGTCAATGGACCTTTATTGTATTTATTTATATGCAGTGCTGAGAAACGAACCAGTGCCTCACACATGCTGGGCAAGGTTTCTATTACTGAGCCACAACCCCAGTCCTAGCAGCCTATTTTGGTAAATAAATTTTATTGGAACTCTGATGTTCATTTTACATGTCTATGGCAGCTCTTAAGCTAAGATGACAGAGTAGTTGGACAAAAACGCCTATGGCCTACAAAACCAATACTATTTCTGTCTGGTGGAATAAGGAAAAGTTTGTTGATGTATGTTTTAGAGCAAAATGTTTTTCAAGCGTATATTTTGAAATACTGACTTATCTGGAAAGTTAAAAGTGCATTACTTTGAAATAAACAAGATTTCACACCAGCTGTAGCACTTTTTACAATAGCTTTGGAATGATCTAAGCCAATAAGGTTTATAACTTGATGGATGAAGAGACTTTTTTAATGGTTCACTAAAATAAATAATAAATCACATTAATTAACATGTAATGCCCTAAAAGTATTCTATTACTGTGTTCCATTATTATTACCAGTTTTCTTTTAGTTCAATATGAAATCTAATCATTTGGACTCATTTATGGTTTGTTTTGGTATATTTTCATAAGAGGTTAACAATTGCCTACTGGGTCAATTTTTTTTTTTTTAGAATGTGAATATATCTAAAGCTTTGGCATTTGATAGAACTATTCTTGCCTTACAGATTTACTTGTCTTACCTGAAACTTGCTTATTGTAAACTACTGATGGCTTATCTAAGTCTTGGGCAAAATTAGAGCCTGTTTTTCCAAATGAAAAATGAGTTTCATTCAGCAGCTAGTGCAGTATTATCTGTTTTTTTCATCTTATTTTGCAGATGTATGTCCATCCCTGTGACGATGAGGGCTATTCGGAGGAAGGCTGAAACCATTCAGGCTGACACCCCAGCACTGTCCCTCATTGCAGAGACAGTTGAAGACATGGTGAAAAAGAACCTGCCCCCGGCTAGCAGCCCAGGGTATGGCATGACCACAGGCAACAACCCAATGAGTGGTACCACTACACCAACCAACACCTTTCCGGGGGGTCCCATTACCACCTTGTTTAATATGAGCATGAGCATCAAAGATCGGCATGAGTCGGTGGGCCATGGGGAGGACTTCAGCAAGGTGTCTCAGAACCCAATTCTTACCAGTTTGTTGCAAATCACAGGGAACGGGGGGTCTACCATTGGCTCGAGTCCGACCCCTCCTCATCACACGCCGCCACCTGTCTCTTCGATGGCCGGCAACACCAAGAACCACCCGATGCTCATGAACCTTCTTAAAGATAATCCTGCCCAGGATTTCTCAACCCTTTATGGAAGCAGCCCTTTAGAAAGGCAGAACTCCTCTTCTGGCTCACCCCGGATGGAAATATGCCCGGGGAGCAACAAGACCAAGAAGAAGAAGTCATCGAGATTACCACCTGACAAACCCAAGCACCAGACTGAAGATGACTTTCAGAGGGAGCTATTTTCAATGGATGTTGACTCGCAGAACCCTATCTTTGATGTCAATATGGCAGCTGACACATTGGATACGCCGCACATTACTCCAGCTCCAAGCCAGTGTAGTACTCCTCCAACAACTTATCCACAACCAGTACCTCATCCCCAACCCAGTATTCAAAGGATGGTCCGACTATCCAGTTCAGACAGCATTGGCCCAGATGTAACTGATATCCTTTCAGACATTGCAGAAGAAGCCTCTAAGCTTCCCAGCACTAGTGATGATTGCCCACCCATTGGCACCCCTGTTCGGGATTCTTCAAGTTCTGGGCATTCTCAGAGTGCCCTTTTTGACTCTGATGTCTTTCAAACTAATAATAATGAAAATCCATACACTGATCCAGCTGACCTTATTGCAGATGCTGCTGGAAGCCCCAGTAGTGACTCTCCTACCAATCATTTTTTTCCTGATGGAGTAGATTTCAATCCTGATTTATTGAACAGTCAAAGCCAAAGTGGTTTTGGAGAAGAATATTTTGATGAAAGCAGCCAAAGTGGGGATAATGATGATTTCAAAGGATTTGCATCTCAGGCACTAAGTTCTTTGGGGGTGCCAATGCTTGGAGGTGATAATGGGGAAACAAAATTTAAAGGCAATAGCCAAGCTGACACTGTTGATTTCAGTATTATATCAGTAGCTGGTAAGGCTTTGGGTCCTGCAGATCTTTTGGAGCATCACAGTGGTAGTCAGAGTCCTTTAATGACCGCTGGGGAGTTAGGGAAAGAAAAGACTCAAAAAAGGATAAAAGAAGGCAATGGAACTAGTAATAGTAGTTTGTCAGGCCCAGGATTAGACAGCAAACCAGGAAAGCGCAGCCGGACTCCTTCTAATGATGGTAAAAGCAAAGATAAGCCTCCAAAGCGGAAGAAGGCAGACACAGAGGGAAAGTCTCCATCACACAGTTCTTCTAATCGACCTTTTACCCCACCTACCAGTACAGGTGGATCCAAATCTCCAGGCAGTTCAGGAAGATCTCAAACTCCCCCAGGTGTTTCTACACCTCCCATCCCCAAAATCACTATTCAGATTCCCAAGGGAACAGTGATGGTGGGCAAGCCCTCCTCTCATAGTCAGTATACCAGCAGTGGTTCTGTGTCTTCCTCAGGCAGCAAAAGCCACCATAGCCATTCTTCTTCCTCCTCTTCCTCCTCTTCTGCTTCCACCTCAGGCAAGATGAAAAGCAGTAAATCAGAAGGCTCATCAAGTTCCAAGTTAAGTAGCGGTATGTATACCAGCCAAGGGTCTTCTGGATCTGGTCAGTCCAAAAATTCATCTCAGTCTGGGGGAAAGCCAGGTTCTTCTCCCATTACCAAGCATGGTCTGAGCAGTGGCTCTAGCAGTACAAAGATGAAACCTCAAGGCAAGCCATCATCACTTATGAATCCTTCTTTAAGTAAACCAAACATATCCCCTTCTCATTCAAGGCCTCCTGGAGGCTCTGATAAGCTTGCTTCTCCAATGAAGCCTGTTCCTGGGACTCCTCCATCCTCTAAAGCCAAGTCTCCAATCAGTTCAGGTTCTGGTGGTTCTCATATGTCTGGAACTAGTTCAAGCTCTGGCATGAAGTCATCTTCAGGGTTAGGATCCTCAGGCTCATTATCTCAGAAAACGCCTCCATCGTCTAATTCTTCTTGTACAGCATCTTCCTCCTCATTTTCCTCAAGTGGCTCTTCCATGTCGTCCTCTCAGAACCAGCATGGGAGCTCCAAAGGGAAATCTCCCAGCAGAAATAAGAAGCCATCTCTGACAGCTGTCATAGATAAATTGAAGCATGGAGTAGTCACCAGTGGACCTGGGGGTGAAGATCCAATGGATGGTCAGATGGGGGTTAGCACAAATTCTTCTAGCCATCCCATGTCCTCAAAACATAATATGTCTGGAGGAGAGTTCCAGGGCAAACGTGAGAAAAGTGATAAAGACAAATCAAAGCTTTCTACTTCTGGGGGTTCAGTGGATTCTTCTAAGAAGACCTCAGAGTCAAAAAATGTGGGGAGTACAGGTGTGGCAAAAATTATTATCAGCAAGCATGATGGCGGCTCCCCCAGCATTAAAGCCAAAGTGACTTTGCAGAAACCTGGGGAAAGTAGTGGAGAAGGCCTCAGACCTCAGATGGCCTCTTCTAAAAACTATGGCTCTCCACTGATCAGTGGCTCCACTCCAAAGCATGAACGTGGTTCTCCCAGCCATAGTAAGTCACCAGCATATACTCCCCAAAATCTGGACAGTGAAAGCGAGTCAGGCTCCTCCATAGCAGAGAAATCTTACCAGAACAGCCCTAGCTCAGATGATGGTATCCGACCACTTCCAGAATATAGCACGGAGAAGCATAAGAAGCACAAAAAGGAAAAAAAGAAAGTAAAAGACAAAGATAGAGACCGGGACCGGGACAAAGACAGAGACAGAGAGAAGAAAAAATCTCATAGCATCAAGCCAGAGAGTTGGTCTAAATCACCTATCTCTTCAGACCAGTCCTTGTCTATGACAAGTAACACAATCTTATCTGCAGATAGGCCCTCAAGGCTCAGCCCTGACTTTATGATTGGGGAGGAAGATGATGATCTAATGGATGTGGCTCTGATTGGCAATTAGGAACCTAGGTTTTTAAACAAATGTAGCCAGAGAAGAAACTAATGATAAGTTTATATGTAAACCAACACAAGGGGTGAGTCAGACAGGTCTGATTTAAGAATCCTAAAAGTCATAGCTTTGACACCAAGCTGGGTAAATTCAGAAAGGTATATCCAGACCCGACTAAAGAGACCACAGGGTTTGATTCTGGTTATCAAGAATTCCTTATTCTTTTACCAGAAAGAAAATGTTAAAAATATGTGCTTACAAAAGGGAGGGGGAGGGAGGGATGTAAGGAGATGGAAGGGTGGGAAAACAGTTTTTTGGGAAATATTCATATATATTTTTTCTCCCTTTTTCCATTTTTAGGCCATGTTTTAAACTCACTTTAGTGCATGAATTTGAAGGGCTGGGCAGAAAATGAAAAAGCAATACATTCCTTGATGCATTTGCATGAAGGTTGTTCACCTTTGGGTAGTTGTCCATTTGAGGCATGGGCAAATGAAGGACTTGGGTCATTTTGGACACTTAAGCAATGTTTGGTGTCTGTTTCTTAGGAGTGATTAGGAGAGGGAAGATGATTTTAGCTATTTATTTGTAATATTTTAACCCTTTGTTTTTATACAGTGTTTCTTTCTAACTCTATGAGGTTCAGGGTTCAAAATGATGGGAGGTGAAAGAGGAAGGCTTATTTCATGGTAGAGAGCTTGTAGCTTTGCTGATAAGCCCAAGCAGACTTAATAAGTCAGAGCCTGTCTTTGGAGTTAAGTAGAAAAACCAAAATGACATTTTCATTTTAGGAGGTTTTTCATAGGGTTCAGACATCATAGGAATATTAGGAGTTATCTCCCTATGGAAGTAATGATTTATCTTTTTCCTTAAAAAAAAAAAAAAACTTAGGGTGGCTTTTGGGGATGTAAACATGTTTTCAGATGCAGTAAGGTATAATGTGGGATAGCCTTCCTGACCCACTGGCATGAAAATCATTATAGAATTAATAGTTCTCCTGTTTCCACAATGTGCCAAAAGTCCGCATTCCAGCATTTTGTTTGCAGGAGAACTGATGCCATTCCTAAGAGCTGGGCTCTTTGTTTCTCTTCATCACAAGGAGGAGTTCAGACTTTAACCACTCCACTGTATGCTCCCTGAGATAAGACAGTGAAAATTTTGCAGCCATAGTTCACTTAAAACAATTTCAAGCTCACTTGAAGTAATGGGGGCCTGGAATGCTAGGTGAGCATGAAGATAAACCCTTGCTACTATGTAGCAACACAATTGGACCTTTTTGGAGAAACAGGTCTGAATCTGGATTCTGGGGGACATCAATAAGAATCCCTTCTCACAAATATAGAAATCCAGGAGACCATTTTGAGTACAACAGAAGTTCTCAGTATTTGGAGGGTTTTCTCAAAATTCTGCGGCCTTACTTTGATTTTGACACCTTGCACTGTGCCATTCCTGATGATTCCATTCAGGATCTGTATCAGCGGGGCAGGCATAATCCCCAGCACAACACTTCTGGATTAAAAAAAAAAAAAAAAAAAGCCAGGTGATTCATGTGCGTTTGTGTGTCATAAGTGGAGTGACTTCATCAGATACGGAAGAAGATTTATATATTCATCTCTTTATGCAGGTTGGATTTAGCATAGGATTGGAAAATCTGCTTTGGCTTTCTTTCCTGACTGTCTCTCATTTCCTCTAGTGTTCTCCCTTTACTGGTCATCAGCTCTCAACAACTCTGCCACTTTTGTACAAGTCCCAACGTAATAAGAAGTAGGAAATGAAACATTGCAAAGTGGAACAAGAAAAGTTATCGGTTACCATATCAGAGTCAAATGTCTTGGGTGACACTAAGAAGGACATGGGCAAGGTGATACCAGAGTGCTTTATCTTGTGATGCTGATACAGTAGCAGCCTCTCAGACATACAACAGGTTGGATTTCTCAAAAGTTTATCACCTAGTTTTGAATCCTATCCCGTTGGTTTCTGCAGGAAAAGTAAAAAGTTACATGGTTTTTAAGTTTGTTTTGGGTGGGGAAAATTTTGTGGGGAATGTACTGCATAGTATCAGGGGCTCAGCTCCCCAAGCAGAGCCAACAAATATCAAAATGAGTAAACTGGGAAGCTTTTTCTCTCTTTCTGTCTTCATCCCAGATCAAAGAATCCCGAGTTAGGATCTGGATGAAGGATAAGCCCCTGAATTGTCGATGGGCACACCCCACACACTGACCCAGCATCTGAACTTGCTTAACAGGGAGCCGGGGCTAAACTGCTTCACCCTGCCTGAGAACCAGGGAACACTGCATTTCTCCACAGGGTGGAGGAGAAGAGGCAGAATAAACCAAGCCTGGGACACCTCCCTCCCGTCTAGGTGTATTCATTCTCCTGTTTCAAAAGACGGCATGGACATGAAGTCAACTTCTACCTTTCTTCTGCTGTTGGTGTCTTATGTATTCTGAGTTTGACCTGATTCCTTTTCTGTCTTTTGGCTTCATGTTGGGGGTTCTTGGTCAAAATCTGCTCTGATGTACATGAAGAGTTCAAATTAAAATCCAGTGTCTTAAAACAAGTATTTTTTGGGGTGGGGAGAGCAAGCAGGATATAATTTGCCAAAACCAGGCTTGAGGTTGGTGACTCTTGAAAAGAATTTTCCTTTTTCAGGCCTAGGTCTGAAAATCTAGGGCAGCAATAACATGAATTTTCAGAAGAAAGTCTTTCAGGGAGCCAATGAGTCATACAGTATCCACAGTTGAGTCACTTAAAGCAGATGTCAGTATAGGAAGCATTCACAATCCTTAAGCAATCTTGTTTTCAGAAATTTTCCTCATTTCTATTCTGCCCCCCATTTATTTCTATCCTGGAGTTTGTTCTGGAGGGGGCAGAAAGTATTTAATATCTCAGAAACTATGTTGGGAAAGATGCTCAACTGTAAGTACTGAGTTTTAAATTTTGAGTTAAAAAATGTACATCAGGAGCAGTGGGGAGGGCCTTTTTAAAAGAAAATCTTTCAAATTTGATTTTCTGTGTGTATGGCCGTTCTGTAAATATTTTGGGGGTTTTTCATTTTTTGAAAGTAGACACAATTTGTGGGATTTTCCCCCCTAAAACGTTACAAAAAACCTGTTTATTTACATGCAAATAAAATTCTTTGATAAAAAGTCATATGCCTATGTGTAATTGTTTTGCACTTTTTAACCTTTAGTTAATTTAATGTGTGATGAGGATTGAACCTAGTGCCTCACCTGCTATGCAAGTGCTCTACCATGAGCCCACAACCTCAGCCCACCTATTTATGTCTGATATTTTAATTTTTGTATAATCTTCAGTTCAGCTTCTCAAAAAATATTGAAACAAGTCAAAAAGTAATGTCTTCCCTAAGTACCCTACATGGGTCCACAGGCATGGATACATCGGACAAGATTTTTTTTTTTTTTTTGTCGTCTCTAGGTGTCAGTTTTTCTGCCTTTTGCAGTTGTTACCATATGGATCAGTCATGTGGGAGAAAATAGCTCTTACATGTGACTAAATTTAAAGGCTGTTTTATTACACTGGTGGAAGTGAAGTAGAAACATTGAAAGTGTCTGAGACTAGAAAGGAAATATAACATGTACATCTTGGGCAGGGGATGTGGCTCAAGCAGTAGCGCGCTCGCCTGACATGCGTGCAGCCTGGGTTCGATCCTCAGCACCACATACAAAGATGTTGTGTCCGACGACAACTGAAAAATAAATATTTAAAAAAAATGTAGATCTTGGTTTGTGGACTTGAGAGTTTTCTGAAGCTAGGGTTCCTTGCATATTAGGATATAAAGGAAAGGTTATTAAAGTGCTTTAAGAGTTGGGTAAGAAGCCAGCTAAAATATGCTTATCCTAAACAATGTGCAGTGCTTGGTGCTCTTAAATGTTCATTTCTTAATGGGATTCTTAACAAGCCTGACAGTCATTAAAACCACTAATTAAAAGGGGTGTGAAGACAAACTCATAACTGCTTTGGGAGTGTAATAATTGTAAGCAGTACTGCTGCTTCTGCAAGGACTGCTGGGGTTTCATACAGTTTATAATATTTAATGTTTGGGATATTATTCTTTAGTTTCTTTTGAAGGGGCAACTCAACTTTTAATTGAGCCTCAGATCATGGGAATCAGTCACAAATTCCAGGACCTAGAAGTCCCTAGTTGTTAAAGTATAGAGGTATGATGACACGACCAACTTCTACACAAGTCGCCCAAGAGTGACCAAATTCAGTTTCTACTGGGCAAATGCCCCCGCCTACTCGCTCTCACACGCTTGTTTCTCCCGCCAAAGTTGCGTCAGTCTCAGGTTCTCACCAACCAGTGCTCTGATTGGAGGGCGGACAGGCACTAAAGCCCATTGGGCGCCAGCAGCTCCGGAGGGGCGGGGAAGCCAAAGGCACTTTTGCCTCGTCCGCCCCTACCCCACTGATGCGCGCCCCTCCCCCTGCCGGAGGAATGGTAGCCCAGCTCTAGCCCCGCACCCTCTGACCCTCAGGCCTGAGGTGTGGCCTCGCGGCCACCCCCGCAGCAAAACTGGGCACTCGGCCTCCCCCTGAGCCTAATTAGGCCCAGCCTTTCCGAACCATGCACTGGGAGACACCCGCCCCGCAGCGGACCCCCAGGCCTCCCTGCAGCACCCCGTAATGCAATCCACTGGGGCGGGGAAGGGGGCGGCGGCGGCGGCGGCAGCGGCGGCGGCAGCAACTACGGCAGCGGCGACGACGGCGGCGGCGACGGCATTACTGCCCCAATCTAGAGACATCCAAAAAGAGGAGGAAAATGGCTCCAAGCAGGGACCGCCTCCTGCACTTTGGGTTCAAGGCGACAGTGAGTGATAGAGGATGGGAGTTGGGTGGTCAGAAATGATGTGTGAGCCAACCCCGGGTACAGGGGAGTTAGTGACAAGACTAGGGTTTGAGAGGACTAGGCCGAAAGCTCAGGTTCTCTGTGGGTAGGTGCGTGCCTGTTTGCCCGCGGAGGGGAGGAGAAGGGTTCTGGGCCAAAAGGGGGCTCCGGTGCGGTGTGCTGTCCTCCTGCTTTCCTCTCTTTCACGAGTCCACGAGCACGCGCGCACTGGCTCCCGCCCCACAACCCCCCTACACAAACACATAGACACTTAGGCACTTCCCTGCCTCGCCTTCTCCCGGTGGGCTGGCCTGCCTCGGAGGCGGGAGGGGGTCGAGCCACCACTGCCGCTGAGCTCCGACTGCTCGCAAGCGCACCGTCAGGGGCTGCGCCCGTGGTGGGGGAGGGGTGGTCTCGCACCGCCGCCGCGCGCTCCTCCCCCTCCCCCGGCGTTCCGAGGCCCGGGCGGCTCTGCCCAATGAGGAGCGGCGTTGCTGGCAGGTGGGGAGTGTTTTTGTTTTGGGTTGAAGTTGAGGCTGAGGAGAGAGCCGAGCTAGCGACGAGCAGTCGTCGCGGCCGCTGGAGCCGCGGGAGGTGGCGGAGGCCCCTCAGTAGCCTAGAAGTCTCTGCTGCCCTTCCGACGCCCCCTGCTTTGCCCCTCCGCTGTCGGCTCCCGGTCCCGGAACTCTCCGGCCTGCCCTGGGCCCCTGTGTTTGCACTCCGCACGCCGCAGCGCCCGGCCCGGGCCGCACCCGCCGGCCCCATGAGGAGAGACGTGAACGGAGTGACCAAGAGCAGGTTTGAGGTATGAGCTCGGGGGGCTCGGGCAACGAGAAAGGCCAGTCCTGCACTCCTACGAAACGTTCGTTCGCTCCTCTCTGAGCCTCCTCCCTTGCCTGGCGCCACCCACCACCGGCGGGGCTGCCAGCCCTCACTCCCCTTCTCTTGACCCGAAAGCCAGCGCCGCCCGGCTTGCCTAGCTCTCCAGGGAGCACGCCTGCTGCCCCTTCCCACCCAGCGCCACGGCGGGGGATTAGCTCTGACGCCCTAATTCCCCCCTCCCCCCCCCATCACTCAGCTTTCCATTCTTTACACACCCTTGGCTTGCCTCCTTCCACTCGGCAGAAAAAGCATCACGGCTCCGACCGGCCGGAGCGAGCTTTTTCTTCCTGCCACTTTCCTGGATCGTTTCCCATTGGTCGAGTGGAGAAATGACCGGTGAGGGGCCATTTCTCGAGTTTAAGACCTTGATTAAACTAGGACAGTGGGGGTAACCGAGTAGGATGATAGAGGAGACTGTGGGTTTTCGGTCCTGTGTTGAGTTTGAGTATTGTTCGGATACTTCCTCTTCTTTCCGTTTAGTCTGGACTTTTGTATCTCATTGTTTGTGGGAACCCTTAGATGGCTATGTGGTTTGAGATTGGGATGAAGATCTGAGAGATTTTAGAAAATCCTTTGGGGTCTTGTGGTCTCCTAGGAACTTTACCTTCTCCGGTGAGCGAGGTTTATAGTTGGTCATGGAATTGAGAAATGTGAAGTGTGCAAGTATCTTTAAAGAGTAGTCACCAAGTGGGGAAGGCATTCCTTTGAAAGTGAAGTATTGTAACTACTGACGAATTACAATAGTATAATCATGTACAGGAAGATTGATTGAGAGGATAAGAAAGAGAGAAACTTATACAACAAGAAGAGTAAATCTTATCTGGCCTTTTCTGGCAGAGAATCAGGCTGACCTGGGATCACTCACGGCTCAGTGTACATCTCATTGGGTGTTTTTCTTCGTTTTCACTCAAAAGATGAAATTGTAAGAGGGTAGGACAAAAACTTTAGGAAACTCATCAACTCTGTGCAGAGGGTGAAATATCTTACTTAAACTGCAGTTTAGTCTGTTCATTTCTTTAAATGCTTGCGTTGAAAATATTTGAAATTATCCCCAAAGACTAGATAGGATACATTTGGAGGAAGTTTAAGCTACAGTGTTAAGTTGTGGATGAGAAATGGGGAAAATTAAGGAATTGTTCGCCTTAGAGTTTTTGTTTTTGTTTTGTGGTACCAGGGATTAAGCCCACGGTCATTTAGCCACTGAACCACATCTGCAGTCCCATTTTTATATTTTATTTAGAGTCAGGGTCTTGCTATGTTGCTTAGGGCCTTGCTAAATTGATGAGTCTGGCTTTGAACTTGCTGTCCTCCTGCCTCAGCCTTCCCAGTCTCTGGGTTTACAGGCCTGTGTATGCCACTGAGTGCAGCTTAGAGTTTTCATATAAAATTTAATGGGGAGGTGGACTGGAGATATAGCTCAGTTGCTAGAGTGTTTGCCTTATCTACACAAGGTCCTGAGTTTAATCCCCAGCACCACCAAAAAAAAAAAAAAATGGGAAGAAGTATTAGATATTATTTGATGTTATCTCAGTAGGATGTTATGTTGCTCTAATGTACAAAGCCCAGACTAATTAATGGTGGTTTCATATTCAGCATTACTGTGAAAGTCCAGAATGTCATTAAAATTACTGAATAGACATTTGTAAGTTAAGGGGAATCAGAAGCTCCAAATCCTGAATATTAAGTGGGGCTTAGATAGCTTTTTTTTTTCTTAAATATTTATTTTTTAGTTTTAGGTGGACACATATCTTTATTTTATTTTTACTGGGTGCTGAGAATCGAACCCAGTGCCTCACGCATGCTAGGCGGGCGCACTACCATTTGAGCCACATCCCCAGGCCAAGATAGCTTTTTGCCACTGCAATTAGTTCTTTTATCATTTTTTTGTCCACTTTAGGTCATTGAATTGTTGGAAAGAATTCTCTTGTGGTGTGTACTTAAAAATTACATTGCTATTTCCTGTTTTTGTTATAGTTTTACAGTTTTATCTGTAGTGCTGGCATACTAATAATAACAAGAAATTTTATTGCTTTATTAAGTGTAGCTATTTACCTTGATTACTATGTAGCAGGCAGCTGAGGCTTTCTAAGAATGATCTGAGAAGCTGAAAAGAATAAGGTGAGAAACCTCCTTTACTTTTACTTCTGTGCATTGTTAGGCAAGCACTGCCCCACTGAAACACATCTTCAGCCTGAACCTTTATACTGTTCATGATTACAGTGTTTATAAGCCAAAAATTAATCAGTATGTGAAGTGTTCAATGTCAGAATAAAATGAATAATGTCTAGATGAACTGTTAGAATTTTCAATATCTGAGTATTTCTTAAAACTACTTATCTCTTTGTTGATCTAATTTATAAGTAATAAGACAGCCAGTCAATTAGACTCTTATTATTTTTTTTTTTGATACTGGGGACTGAATCCAAGGGTGCTTAACTGAGCTACATTCCCCAGTCCTTTTTATTTTTTATTTTGAGACATGGTCTTGCAGAGCTGCTTAGGGCCTCACTAAGTGATTGTGGTCGACTTCAAACTTGGATCCTCCTACCTTAGCCTCCTAAGATGCTGGCATTACAGGCCTCTTATAAAGCAATAAATTTATTGAAAATATTTCAAGTGTTTACTTTCAATAAAAGATATAGGTAAATAAGACAGGCTTTTCATGTCTAAAACTTTTTTTTGGGGGGGTGGGGTGGGGTACTAGGGTTTAAACCCAGGGCTACTTAACCACTGAACCACATCCCCAATCCTAAAACAGTTTTTTTTGGGGGAGGGTATTGGGAATTGTACTCAAAGGTATTCGACCACTGAGCCCCATCCCTAGTCCTGTTTTGTATTTTATTAGAGAGAGGGTCTCACTGAGTTGCTTCCTCACTGCTAAATTACTGAGGCTGGTTTAGAACTCTAGATCCCCCTGCCTCCGCCTCTGGCTCTGCCTCCACCTCCCAAGCCGCTTGGATTACAGGAGTGCACCAGCGAACCCTGCCTTGAAACAAAGATTAAAAAAAAAATTTTTTTTAAGTTGTAGATGGACACAATTCCATTTATTTACATGGTAGGAGCTCTACCACTGAGCCACAAGCTCCAGCCCCAAACACCTCAAAGTTACAGATTGCTTTTTATTTTTATTTTTTTTTTAAATATTTTAATTGCAATTGGTTAAGACTGCCAATTGTGGAGGGGCTGCCATCTTTCCACTGCCTTCTCTGGTTTAATGGTGAGTAGCCTAGGTGTGATTTGCATTCCAGTAGTTATACATCGCGCTTGAGGTTTGTTGGGGATCCTTAAGCTTTGTAGATTGTAAACATCTTTTTTTTTTTTTTTTAAGAGAGAAAGAGACAGAGAGAGAATTTTAATATTTATTTGTTTTTTAGTTTTCGGCGGACACAACATCTTTGTTTGTATGTGGTGCTGAGGATCGAACCTGGGCCACATGCATGCCAGGCGAGCGCACTATCGCTTGAGCCACATCCCCAGCCCCAGATTGCTTTTTAAATAGCTGGTAATTTTTATGATTGTAAATAGTTGATCTTTGAGAATTTTTCTGAGTGTAGGAAATCTTATACCTCACTGTTTTTGCAAATAATAATGACTAATTTCAAATAGCAGTTAGGACTAATACAAAAAGAAAAAATTTGGTGGGGGCGGTGAATAACTCAAACTTATGATCTTTCCATAGATGATTCATCTTATAGGAAATGTTTTATTCTGTATGCTTTTGAAAGTTGTATCTGGAGGCCACATGGTTTAATCTCACATACGGGCATAGAACTGCAGTTAAAAAAAAAAAAAGGAGGGCTGGGGCTGTAGCTTAGTGGCAGAGAGCTTGCCTAGCATGCATGAGGCACTGGGTTCGATAATCAACACCACATAAAAATAAATAAAATAAAGGTATTGTGTCCAACTACAATTTTTTAAAAATATATTTAAAAAATGGAAGTTAAAACTAAGCTTGGTGCTGTGGCACACACCTGTAATCCCAGGGGCTAGAGGAACTGAGGCCAAAGGACCGAAGGATTGAAGGATCGGGAGTTCAAAGTCAGCCTCAGCAACGGGGGAGGTGCTAAGCAACTCAGTGAAACTCTGTCTCTAAAGAAAATACAGAATAGGGCTAGGGATGTGACTTGATGGTCCAGTGACCCTGAGTTCAATCCCCAGTTTCAAATAAATAAGTAAGTCAAGAGAGTGGCCAGATATGTAGCACTCTGTAGAATAGTCAGAGTAAATGTCTATTCTAGTAGTTTGTTACTGTTGAATAGTTAAAAGAAATCTAGATGTCATTCCTTCCTTTGTTACCTTGGCATTAAATATATATTCAATAAATATCCTTTATACATTGACAGAATATATTAAAATGTGTTAGTCACTTAAATGAAATTCATTGTTCAAATACTTACAGTATTACTTATAATGAACTTTTCTGGCCAATTTTGATAATTTCCTTTCAAATTTAGTGATAGTTATTGATAGTCTCACCCGGACTGAGCAAAATGTTTTACCTCAGTTATTTATTTTTGGTTGAGTGGGGAATTGAACCCTGGGCCTCATGCATGTTCGGCAAGTGCTGTACTACAGAACCACACCCCCAGCCATCTCAGTTCTGTTTCTCACAATTATGTTTTACAGTTGAGGAAAGTGAGGGCCTGATATGTGTTCAGGTTAAAAGTGGGAGAGCCAAGATTTCAGTCTGCATTTTTAAAAATTCCACTCTTTATCCTGTTCTGCATAACTCACCATAAAGCCCATAAAATATGTGGGAATGTGCTTTCCTAAAGTTCTTCATCCAGTATATTTAGTTTTGTGTTTGCTCTAAAAAGAATGAGTCTACCCTTCATTTTAAGTGCATTAAATAACATTATCTTAACATCCTATGGGAAATATCTAGACGGGCCCTCAGATTCAAGTTTAGATTTTTTTCAGTTA